CCCCAAAACCCCAAAACCCCAAAACCCCAAAACCCCGAGTCGAAATAAGCTAATTGATTTTCAATATTAGTAATAAGGCAAGACTCTTCCATTTTAATAAAATTAGACTTCAGAGACCAACAGCCTTAACTCTTACTCAAGAGCTTCTGCCGGAGCTTGCAGTTGCTTGAGTGAGGGAGGCCTTAGATATTGCAGCCGGGAAAGAGACTTGGCAATTTATGTTTGGAGGTAAAAGATGGGTTATTTGTCTTTGATAGATGGTGACTATGATTGTATTTGAGAGAAAATACTCTGGAGATATATAATCCAGCACTTTCTAGAAATATATTATGCTGTATCATAAGATGGGTTAGAAAAAGAACTGAGTCATAAGATAATCAATAAAAGCTTATTTTCAGTTTACAATATTGATTTCTGGGAATACCTACATTCTACAATAGGGATAACTCTTGAGTTAGAAAATGGGCAGTCATTGCGCATCCGTGGCCATTATCTCTTCCAACCCACTGCCCACTAATTGGGACCCTCCTTGCCATTCGCGAGGCTGCCTCAGCTTGGGCTGAAGGAGTCGTGGTGGTGGCTCAGGAGCCACAGTTGAACCATGATTGGAGGGGAAGTGGGAAGTTTAAGAGAATGAGCAAGAGTGGGTTGGAGAAAATAAGGGTTCAGCAAAGAAAGATTTTTGGTAATTTGAGGATGGCTTTATGGGGTATTGGTGAAGACTCTGGGGGTGATAGGATTGTGAGAGGGATTAGCTTTTGGCAATGACGCCTAAGAGTTAATTGGAGACGATTTAGTAAGCATTTTAGCGATTAGAATGGGATAATGGAGATTTAGTCATGCATCCAATGTTATTAGGACAAATTAATCGTTAATATTGATACTTCCGTATTCAAGGAAGTGGTCAATGGCTGATATGACCTCTTGAGCAGTGTAATCAAAGTTAAGAAGAGCTTTATCTCTTCTCAATGCAACAGCGTATATATCATATGTCTTGGCGGCTTCTAGTTCATCTCCAAACGTTCCGATGTATCTTTTGGTATTCTTCACATTGATGAGGGCTTGCCAGTTAGAGCTATTTCTGGAAACTCCGATGAAGCGAGACCTCCTTCTCTGAGATGCATCTTCAGGTGATCTTTCCTTCTTAATCGTGGACTTGAACAACATTGAAAGGTCCTTGAGAAGACGATTTCTCAGTCTGAATAGCCTGGCTCTGATGTTAAATCTGGAACAGCGTCTTCTTCTTGTTGATATTGCTCTCTCCTTGTTGTCAGTATCCTTGATGTCAATCTCTTTACCTTGGTCTTGAATATTCTCTGTTTGGAGAGAAAGGTGAGGCTCTTCTTTTTGAGCTGATGATTCCTCCTCGGATGGTTGAGTACTCAGCAATAAGTTCTTCTTAAATTGTGCTTGATTACTATAATGTAGTGTCATTGCTAGTTTTGAAACAAAACTAAACTTGAGAATATCTTAGTATATCTTTTAGTAGATACTTACTTGTTTTCAGAGTGAATCTTGATAACCACTAGAGTTGAAGATAAGAGATGGTCAGGAATCGTACAATAGTCATCTAAGCCCATCAAGCTTGCACCAGGTGATGCACAAAGACAGTAAGTCTTTTGTAATTGAAAAACCAAGCCTCTATATCCCCATCTGGGCAAGTAACTTTGGCTTCTAAAATTCGAAAGGATATGTTGGTCCATGTTAAAAATAATTTTATAGTTTTCTCTTAAGAATTCTTAAATAAGCTACATCCTGCAATCTGAGACACATAATATTTAGACAACTGAGAAGATGATTTCAGGGATGAATAATTTGATAAATGTCTTAAATTTTAAATTTCTTTATTTCAAACCTCTCCGCTTCTTGATAATTGGACCTCTTAACATAAGCAGTATAATTAAGACTGTGAATATCTTCATATATATTAGTTCCATGCTTATGGCCGCCCATCGTTATAGGTTTTGTGAGGACCTCTAGATCCATTTCGATTGATTTAATTTGGTTCTTGAAATTTTCAATTGATAAGGGAAATGGTAGCTTGCTACAATTCGCCAATAATTTCTTCATTTAGGCATCTTATAAATTTGAGTTTTAACAAGCTGAGGAAGTCTAAAATGTTGCAATTAATTTTTTATAACAATAAGATCTTCATCGTTGGTCTTTGCTCTCTTCATCTTCAAGGATAAAAACAAATTGAATTTTTCTTGGTATACCTTATGATTTCATTATAGTAAATCAGATGCTTGGTCTCAAAAAACATACTTTAATGAGGAGAACTTAAATGATAATCAAGTGTATGCTTTGCTTCTGAGCAAAGGGTCCGCCAGCTTGAATGTCCGATCAACTGAATTTAATCCTATCAATTCAGTATAAACTCCTATGATATGTTAAATTACTAAGGTCCTAGTTCTCATTAAAATTATGCTAAGGCTATAAATTAGCAGGGAGAAAAAGCCTCAATCCGTAAAAAATATGTGAAGTGAATGACCAAGTTCGACTCTTGGTTAATGAAGACTCTCAGGCTCCTCAAAATGAGAGTTCCATAATGGCCAAATGCTAAGAGGTTAGTCTCTGAATAAAATTGGGATTATATATCGGCCATGAGATATTTGAGAATTTTGGTAATGGGAGTCATCTAAAATGTCAAGATATCGTCTATCGCAAAGCCTTATATTCACAAAAAATTTAATTAAGCAAAGATATTGCCACCATTCAAATACCAGACTCGAGCATCTTGCTCTGTGGCTTATTTTATTGACAAGCCTGGACTCCGAATCATCAGTTGATTGCCCAGAGCCTTGATACCTGAGGCTTCAGATTTTTATCGGAATGCTAAGCTTATGATAGTTATAAATAACTCAATTAAGATTCTCCGATTAGTGAGATTAGTAATGAATCATTTGGAGACGCTAAATATTTGTATGGATGTTGAATAAAGTTGCTAAAGATTTACTTATCGAAGAGAACAACAGCAATAACATTTAAAACTTATTATTCAAGATTATTTATTCAATAAAGCTTCCCAGACAGCTAGAATTTGGAAAAAGACTTGGAGTTTTAACTTTCTTGAAGCCTATGACAAACGAGAATGGAGTTTAGTATTGATTGCACTTAGTTATATCCTGACTATAATATATGAGCTCATAAAAGCTCTATTGTCTTTCCAAACTTAGAATAGGTCTTAACTTGATGAATCATCGAAATATCGATTTTTGAGTAATGCAGTTACGGATTTACAGCAAAAAGAGACTTCCTATTATTTATAGAGTTATTTATTATGAATTGGGATGTTATAGCACTAAAGGTTGCTTCAATTAAAGCGAATCCAGTCTGAAAGTGCAGGAAATGGTATTATGCAAGTTTTGGTTAAAATCTAACAATTCTCGAACCTTCAACTTTAAAGCTAAATCGCAGAGACTGACGCTTGGACAATAAATTAAATTATTTTCCAGCTTTTCTCTACTCCACCGATTGTGACTCTACACCTTAATTAGATTTCTCATACAATTATTAAACTCTAGGCCCACTAATTCTCAACAAAGACCAGCTCTATGCATCCAAAATCTCTCCAGAATGCGGAATCTCTTCTGTCATGAGCCTGTTGCACGAAATCTAACCATTTTTATACGCCATGTGAAGTAATGTCAGAAGCCTAAAAGACTCTAGAGTTGTGAAATAGTTGAAGGGCTATCCAACATTTTGTTTCAGCAATAAATAATTATAAGGGGTTTTGGGGTTTTGGGGTTTTGGGGTTTTGGGG